GCCCGCAGTAGGGCCCTATAAAGGTGATCCGTGAAGCTCCAGCACCTCATAAACTTAAGAACATATACTAAGCATATCCAGAACCTGAGGAGGAAGCTCGCTGCTCTGCACTCGCTGCATCCATTGATAACCAAAAATTTCAGGAGTATCGATTGAAAGCAGATCGGTGATGAATAGATAATAAAGCACCAAGGATCGACATAAATTTGTTGGCTCAAGCAAATCAATTATGATATTTTTTTGGAGGAAATTTCCACTTTAACAATCATGATAAGCTAGTGAGCTAAATCACATCTTACCATTTGCCTTTAACAAAATTTCCGTCTTCTTTAATTACTCCAACAATGCATCTTAGCTTTTACAAGGTATTAATTAATAACTACATGTGATAAATACAGAGGACTTTTAGGTATTCTTGATTAGACCCTAGAATTGATCGGATCCTAGAATTCTCTTCTAGGACCAAATATCATTTAAGTACCATAACTTCAAACTACATTAAAAATTATCCATAAGATTTTGAGTTACATTCAATAAGATACTCTAATCTTTAATTAGTCTCCCAATACATCTATCACCATACAAATACCTGAAGAAAATCTCATCCTTGACAATCTAGCCATGTAAATGCTTCCTTTTATAAATGCCACCTTAATTTAAGTTAGCATAATAATTAGAATGGGCTTTGCAAAACCTCCAGCCCCATCCTCGTGCATCATCATCTATGAAAAAACCTAATTGCCTTACTAAAAGCAATTCACAAACTAATTAATAATACTTAATCTATTAATACATCCTTTCTAGGAAAGCTTTCTGAATAAAAAGAGCAAATCCATGTCTCAAGAATCGATTCCACATATAAAATAATTCTAAAAACGTTTTATGTGTATTATCTATCACTCACATATAAAATTTGCTTCATATTCACATAAACAACTCAGTAGTCAACCAAATCTATCAATTGTCACTTATAAAAATTATGACCTAAAAATCCCTTCTAGTATCTGTATTCCCATGTACTAGGTTAATCTTATAACTAGAGCAAAAAAGATAAATCACATCAGAATCCCGGATGTAGAAACCTTACTCAAATTTGGTCAATAGGTAAATGACATTTGTGTGAGTGTTATCTCTTGTGCACTAACATGTAGTAACTGATTAAGAAACAAATTATCCGCTTAGTGAATCAACTTTGATGGAGCCAATCAAACTACATGCTGGAATTTTTCGGATTTTAGACTCTGCCATCGCTTTCCTCCAATTAGCAGCATCTCCCCACCTTTCCCCAACAGCACTTATATTTGACAACACCACATATCGGCCACAATGTTTTGGCTGTAATTCAAGGAGCTTCTTTCCTACTTCATTTCCCAACTGAACGTCCCCATGAATCTTACAAGCACCAGAAAGAGCTCCCAAAACAGAGGCATCAGGCAGCAAGGGCATGCAAAGTACAAACTCAACTGCATCTCTCAGAAGTCCTGCTCGGCCCAAGAGATCAACAGCACAGCCATAATACTCCCTTACTGGTACAACACCATATCGACTTGACACTTACAGAAACAACTTCAAACCCAAGTCAACAAGTTTTGCTCGAGCACAAGATGTAAGAATAGCAACAAAGGTAACCTCATTGGGGCAAAATCCTTGCACTTTCATCGTCTCAAACATACATAGAGCTTGCTTCGCCCTGCCATGACAGGCAAGTGAAGAAATCATTGCATTCCAAGTGAAAACCTCTTTAACCTCTATCCGATTGAATACTCTTTTTGCAGTCTCCAAACAACCTGTCTTTCCATACAAATCTACCAACGCAGCCCCCACGACAGCGCTCAAACTGAACCCATTCTTAACAACATATCCATGTATCTGCTTCCTTTGATAAAGACCAGTTCCATCTAAATTAGCACAAGAAGACAGCACAGTAACAAATGCAGCCTCATTAGACTTTACGGAACCGCGGACCACATCCTCGTGAACCATAATCTTTGCAAAAAGTGGCAATGCATCAACAAAGCGTCCATTCATCACGAACCCATTAATAACTCTCGTCCATCAAACCACATCCTTCCCGGGCATGCTCTGAAAATACAGAAAAGCAGAACCCACGTCTCCATTCCTCCAAAAAGCGTCAAGTAAAACATTACACGCCACAATACATGGATGGGGAATTTCCACAAACATCTTACGTGCATTGCGTATGTCACACACTTCGGCGTCCACATTCACGGATGAAGTTTGCACAAATGGGTCGCATAAAACACCCCATTTGAGAGCATGAGCATGGAGAATTGGGCCAGATGAGGGAGAGCAAGAAGCAGCTTTGATTAGAGACGGGAAAGTGAGATGGTTTGGTGAAAGTCCGTGTGCAATCATGCGGGTGAAAAGTAGTAAAGAAGTACAAGAGAGTCCCGTAGAGAGATAAGATCAAATGAGAGTGTTGTAAATGAGAACGGTGTTCCATGAAGAAGTGTGGTTGAGGAGAGAGCCGCGGGTGATAAGAAGGGAATGAATCTGTTTGATCTGGTTGGGACAGTGGATGAAATGCTGGAGAAGAAGCTCGGGACTTGAAAATCCAGAAAACCCACCTGTTACCAGAAGCTTTAAAATCAAAACTTGATTAGATGCCCGTTCTTGTCCACCATCTGCCCAGTTCGTATATTATTATTTTTGGATCAAATTAACATTTTTTTTTTTCTCATGTTTCTTTCAATTCATATATGTATATATATATATATATATATATAAATTTAATTCCAACAAAAAATGAAGAAAATTCTTTTATTTTACTATTTATTTTCTGTGTTTTAAAATAATAATAATTATTAAATTTGATTAAACTTAACGAGGAAGATTGATTTATTTTATTTAATTTATACAATCATATTATTAATAAATTAAAAAAAAGTTCGATTACAACTATTTTTCAATTTTTCTAAATTTTCTAACGAAAAAAAAATTCTATGTAGAGAAAATCTTTTCTCGACATAGGTTAAATTCGTATTCAGTTTTTAATATTGTGTATATTCATTAAAACTGATTATAGAAGAATTATGAATTTAACTTGAAAAAAATACTTTAACATTAATAAAATGGAGAACAAAATCAATATTTTAAACTATAAAATTTACATATTAAAAACTAGAAAATAACCAACCCTAGCACCTAAAGAAAAGCAAGCGACAAAATTAACCGTGAATGTTCAATTTATTGACAATCACAAATTACCATCTTTAATTCATTTATAATAATCATAAATTACCCTCTTCGAAAATTCTTATATTTCACTTCGGTCCTTTTATCTTCATTCTCCGTTAATTTTCTGTAAGGATTAATTTGCAATTGTT